ACGAGTCCGAATCCCAGCTACACAAGCTTGTTGAAGGCTGCTAATAAGCCAGAACTGGCCATTCCAAACTCCGCTGCCTTTTCAGATGCTCCTTCCGAGTATGTGCTACCGATCGATAAGTGGCTGCCAACACAGCCAACAGACAACGGCCATCGCTGTTTCCATCATCTTTACAGACATTCCGTTCTGTTTATATTAGTCATACTATTACATAATCATATATGTGACCTAAATTCTCTCACACAGGCGCCTAAGGTTAGATTTTCGGAGCTGTCGCGACGGGTTGTACTCTGAGCAAAACTGTTGGGACACCTCGTGTCCAAATGAGTTTTATCCTACTGGCAGCATGATCATATCAACTATCGATTGCATCAACAAATATTACGTAGCAACTAAGGCATCTCTCGAACCCATCATCAGAGACAGTAGCAAGTACTGTCTCTGGTGATGGCTTTGAGCATGAATCCGAGACTTCAGGCCAATAAAGCTCTTGTTCCGTCCATCGCTCCTACCTCTTGTCAACGAGTTCCTGTAACCCGCATCCTCGCTTGTATCAGTAGAGCTATTGATTTTGAGGCGAGTACTGTAGAGTACTCATAAACTGTGCCTTATGCACAAAAACCCATCTTCCACAACCGAGACTGAAGTAGGCATTGGCAGATTCCCGCAGAAGTCAGACAGCATTATCGAAAAATAGCCTTTATCAGATGTTCCGCGGTGTTAAGTCCATTCCTATGAACTATCTAGCTCAGAAGGTAGGTATGTCGTAAATAGTAATGTTCTCACGAACTGACGAGTTATATCTCACGAGCCCCTAGCCTTAAAGGCAGCAAGTAAATCGAAGCAGTGAACAATATAGAGATTTTTTAACTTTAAGAAAACTGACAACAGAATACCGCAGCAGAGCACGCTAGCAAGGCGGGTTCTACGGGTGTGTCGTTTCTCGTCACATTCAAACAAGCAATGCGGTCAAAGAAAATGGGACTAAATTTTCAAAGGTAAATTAGTCAGGTACCTCACCACAGGTAGGTCACCGTACGGGCTCTGGTTGGAGCTTTGGCCAGCTGTCAAAGACCACGTTTTGGCGGTCGCGCGCAAAACAAACGTAGGTTGGAGCAATCTGTTTACGTCGGACTTACACTTAGCCATGAAATCCAGGAATGTATAAAACATAAAAAGCTGATGATAGAACTACCTCACAATGGGGATATATGTAGTTAAAGTTGATAGCAGCCGCGTCTGAGACGAACTGATTGAAAGTGCCTCACTTGCATAGTAAGGAATACCGGCAAAGCAAGAGCGGCGGAAAGAGTAATTTCTGACTTATCAGGAGTCACCAGCCAGCAACTCGCAACCAGCCACAACGCAATCACTAGTCACAAACAAAGCTGAGCTGCCTTTGATGGTTCCAGATCCTCACCCAAGGCGCAACAGGACAATCATTTCCTGTAGCCTGTCTGGTGGACGCCAGCCCCCTATGGCACAAGCTACGGCATATGGATCCTTCTGCCTCTGACTATGAACAAAATTATGTGGAGTTCCGGTTGTTCAAAAATGAGGCTTCTTCATCATTCCCTTCAGAGAGGGAGTCGGATTCTTCGGTTAAGAGGCGTTTCCTGAAATCTCCCTACTGAAGGGAACAATGCACATAATTTCTTTATCCGATCTACAGCACTTAACTGCTGCTTTATATGTAGAGGTTAGTCGTTTTCTCCTCCATTGGATTTTCGCACAACGTGACAAAACAACAATGCCATCAATCGAATTTACACGATCATTTACACCTCAATAAATCATAAACAGGTTTCATCTTCAAATCACTGAAATCTGTCCCAAACTGAATTACAACTACATTTCGGCATTCTCCAAGTCAGACTTAAACATGTAAACCCCTTGCAGCTAAGGACGGAAATACGAATGTTCTTGAGTACTGATGAGTAGAAATGGCAAATTCGTTAACGATGTCTTTATAACCACGCTGATTCGAGGGCAACCTGCGTTAATTCGACGGATCATGTGGTGATATTAGGTGTCACAGTTGGTACTGATTGACTGCGAAGGCAATTTGGTCGGTAACTCTGAATTTTGCCCCATCACATTTGCCAGACAAGATAGTGCATGAACCGAAGACATTTCTTTCCTCTTCTATTCTGTCATCATCAGTTACCTCCGGCGTTCCCGGTCGCATTTGTAGACATTATTAAGAGAACTTTGCACCGATGTAAATGTGGACTATACCTTCGATTGGCAACTACACGTATAGGCTTTTATTTGTATCATGAATTCAATTTGTCGTCCTCTCAAAAGAACTACCGGTAAACATTTACTTACGTACTTGTAATTCTTATTTTCCCTGCGTCACTTGCAATTTTTTCAGCATAGGCGCCGTTCATCTTTAACATTTCCATCGCAACTGACTTTGACTCAGTAAAGTTTAGTCAAATCTCTGGAAAGCAAGCCCGGACTGAATTGGAAACATTCCGTTTTGTGAATGAAACAGCTTGTCCCACTGAGAGACCTCGGGTGTCCTCATTACCAGGGTCGACCTGGAACCATGCTTGTACGACGGTGGCGACGTTTGTGCCGCGTGTTCAGCGTGAAGAGTTGTCAACTGAGTGCTACGGCTACTAACGCCTATTGCTCTAGTATTGAAACAAAGTTCTGTGTGTGGCAAGCTTCAGCGCCGGCTAATCGATATCTCTGTCGTGCATGTGAACATCAAAATAACGACTGAGAAACATCGATTTGAAGCCAGCTGTATTGGCGAAATCTCGAAATGTGATCAGTCGAGTGCGGCTTCGCAGCCTGCATTCGATTGCCAACCCCGAAAATGCCTTGGAATTCATGGGAATCGAGAGGACTACCGAATTTTGGTTTTGAGGATGAACAGTACTTGCTAAGACGCAGTAAACTACCACAATATTTTGGCAATCAACTGATTCGCCGTCCGGAAACCATGTAGGCTCCCAATGAGTAGGGCACCCTTGAGACACAATAATACCGGCTACGGAACGTCACCCACTCCAACGCCATGGACGCCGCTGATCGCACACAAACATCAAACCCTAGGGTGGGTGGATTTGACGAAAAGATCAGACTGCATACAGTCTACGTTAACCACGATGCCAGCGCAAATAAAACAGGCTGCTTCGGGTGTCGACTTCTAGTACTGAAATAACTGGGTCGTAAGACTGAAGTAATGTATAGTTACGTGGACCGAAACGGTATGAAAGCATTCTTTACCCTAATTTAGGCGGTATTCAGTCTTCGCAGTTTAATTCCGACGAAGAAACACTCTTTACTGACGGGCTGGGTTTGACATTTTAAAGCGTCGTAAATCGACCCTGGGTTATTTCTGACGACGCCGTCATTAGCTCCGGTCCCATGTAGAAACAAATACTAGCCTGAACCTCTCGTCATTCCTCTCAGGTCTTCCTTTGGAAGCCGGTTGAATTCCGACCGAAGTATACGAATACGGCGATTTGCGACTGAAAGAGAAGCAGATCCCACTCTCCGAGGAGACCAAGCGTCAAGGACAAGTTATTAAAGATTTCGTGGATGGCATCATCGAGCGGACCTATAAACGCAAGGACGACCATCAACGCTGTGATAGCCATGGAAGCATACATCTTCCTAACATCGCAAGAAAACTCCTTCTAATCATTTAAACATGCCTCTGGACCGAAGACTCTCCCAGAAAGTGAATGTGGGTTCTGCAGTGACAGCGGGTCTGTCGACATGATTGTCCCAACCCGCCAACTCCTGGAGTGCCGAGAAATGCATGCCAGTCTCTACACCATCTTCGTCAATCTGTAAAAAGACTTGGATAATGTGCATCTCGATGACCTCTGGGAGATCAGCTGAACTTCCTATGTCCCGAGTGCTTCATTACCATGGTAAGACAATTGCACAAATGGATGATGGCGTGTCACAAACGATGAGGCGACAACGGAAGCATCCGCAACGATCATTTGGGCGAAGCAGGGGTGCGTTCTCGCTCCTACCCTTCTCAGTCTCATGTTCGCTGTCTTGCTGATGGATGCCCATCGTGAGAAGAGCTCTAAGATCAACGCCTACAGGACCGACAGCCGAATTCACAATATCCGACGTACGCAAACACTCGCACGATTATCCACGTGCCCTGTTTACGATCTCATGCTTGTGGATGACTGCTCAGTCAGGACAATGACAACACCCACGATGCATGGGTCTTTTCGTCTTCGGCTGCGCCAACTTTTTATTTAGCCTAAACACGAGGAAACGATGGTCATCTATCATCCAGCAGCTGCGGACGAACACATTTCGTGGATAGACCTCGCTTACTTAGGCGATATAAAATCAAGCAATAACAAAGTCGACGAGGAAGAAACAGCGAGCTGGATCTCTGAAGCCAGCCAGGCATTTGGTCGACTGCAAACGTCAATCTCAAATTGCTAGGACTTTCCTATCAGCACAGAACGCAAGTTGTGGGGAGTGGTAGGATAAATGAGACCTGGACAGTCTACATTGATCAAGTCAGAAAATTCACCTATTAACATTCAGCTACCTCTGAGGAATAGACCATGTATAGTAAAGAAATGAAATCATAAACAAGGAAGCCCTCAAACAAACGGCTATCCCCAACATCCAGGCCATATTGAGGCAAATCTGATGGATCGGCCAGGTACTGAGAATGAACAATGAGCGTCTGCGCAAGTAGTAGGTGGTCGCCTACGGGGAGGAGCTAAACGACGTTACATGGATATTAGACATTTTCCTTAAGAAGCTCTGGGACAGTCTTGAACAGGATCAACCTACCTGGTGAGCAGCGGCGAAGGCTAGAGCAACAACTTACTAAGCACATCGTATCACTGACTCCAAAGCCAAATAAGCGGCCCCGAAGTCTCGGGCCGCAAGGAACAACAAGCTCAAAATCCAACTGTTTTCCTGATCTTCTCAATGACAACAGACATTCTACACATGGACATCTCCAGACCCAATGCAATAACAACATAGCAACTTCACCCGCTGTCTCCGGCACCTCCTCCACCCTCGTACCCTAACACCGCCTCCAGGACGACAGCGGCGACGGCCACCATCATCAACGAGAGAAATCTCGGTGTCTCGCCGTCCACCATGTTCTCTGCTAGCAAGAGAACAATTCCTCGACACTGGTGACGACTAACAAAACTATCTCCACCACCACCACCGCCGCCGCCGCCGCCACCACCACCACCATCACCATCACCACCACCACCAACAACAACACCACCACCACCACTACCACTACCACCACCACCACCAACACCACCACCACCAACACCACCACCACCACCACCACCCCCACCACCACCACCACCATCACCGCCACCACCATCTCCACCAAAATCACCATCCCCATTACAACCGAAAACACTACAAACACCGGTGAGAACACTGCCGAGGCCCTGCGACCCCCCACAACGACCAGTACCGTCGTCCCTGCACCGGTAATGTGGTCTTGATCACAACCTGTCCAGGTTGAGATCACACCTTTACGTCACACACTGACATGGCCTGTCACTTGCGAATTCATTGCATTGAATCGTGCAAATCAGTGGATAAAACCTTCACTTACACCCGTCGCATGTCCATGCACTGTCCACATTGTCCCAGGACATTCAGGTATGGCATAGACCTACTCCTCCACCTGAGTCCACATGGAAATCAGTGGGACGACATTACAGGCCAAAACTCTCACCAAGCCTCCCCAGGTCAACCCATACATCGTACACGATCCGCTTCACCACTTCGGACACAAGGACAGCATATGTACCTCTCAAGTGCGTGGGTAGCTTATTCCTCGGTACACTCTGAGTCTTTACGCGCTAGTGTGCGGAACACGTAGACAGGGCGCTGCTGCTCCCCCAGCTCCTTTTTTTGCAGTGGCATCGGATCCAGGTGGATCTGAACGAAGACAGTGCGGTGCACGTAATGCACGCCTACTATCACTGACAGTTTGACTGTCATGACCGAGGATGTCGACCGTGTGCTCCACAGCATGTGAAACAGGCACGGTGGCTTGCATGTGAATTAGTGTATGGTAAGAGTAGACTTGTACAGCATCTATCCCACTCCCTACTCTTTCCCACCTGAGCCCGGTGTCAAGACAGAGTCAAGAAGACCGGAGGCGGCGGAGGGCGCAGGTCGATGGCGTTGCCGAACTCGCACCTTGGCTTTCCACTCCACAACCCCTGGTCCACACAACAACGGACCAGGTTCTCAACAAACAGATGCATCACCATGACGGGTCATAAGGAGGAGGCGGACGGAGCACTCATGCCCTCGACCTATATACCCGGAGGGAGTGCAAGGGCATCTACCGGCAGAGAACCAGGTGTCGGAGAACTGCCAGCGTAAATCAGGCTACGAGGGCCATGGTTTGGTGATCACGGCATAGCAGACGTTCACAATCTTTAAGGCCCTACTAGTTCTCCGTTTTCATGTGACCGTCCTGTCTACACCACGCTGTGACGCGGGTAACGTCCGAATGCCCGTGCCATTAGAAGTTTGGTGCTGGCATAATTTAACTGTCAGTGCGTTTTGACAGACATGACGGACAGAGAAGTACACCAGAAGAGTGGATAACCTCAGTAAAACAAGCAGAGTTTGAGCTTCGATCGACAAATTAAAGCGCAGGACCATGCCTCATGTCGCAGGACAGGCTGCGCCAGTTTTCTAACAAAAATTGTGACTTTTAGGTAGTCTTTTTCAAGAACACACGATGGGAGAATAATAGGCGGTCAGTGGGTAACGTGCACATTAACTTTTCTGACAGGTTACAGGAAAACATTTCGAGCTACAGAAATTATACCAAACGCTGCCGCCGCTGATACAGGTTACTTCCCATAAAGTCTAATCATTTGGGACTCAACTCTCTATAACCAGCGTACCTTAAAGGTAACCGGTAGGAAGACAGCTGAGTCATTAAGTCGTGAAACACCCGCTGCGAGGTTGGTCCAAAGAGCCAGCGTTCAGTTTATCTTGTTTGGTCGCTCGGCCGACCAAATTATAGCTCTAAAATCAGTGCGTGGTCGAATCAATGTATCCTGCATCGCATCAATTCTTCATTAGCGTTCTCTCTGTCCCTAAAATAAACCGTTATTGAATCGGCAGCAAGTGACAGTGCGGAGTTAAAAATCGATATGCGTAAAGATTCGAGGTCCAGACATTGTATCGCCTTCATCATCTCCCGAAGAAAACGAAGAAGAAGAAGAGAGGATGAATTCGTGGACCATTCGAACTGACGTTTCGGAAACTTCCTCGCTTCCATCATCAGAGTAGCGTACTTGTTGCTCCTGCCGGCCTTAGTTGTTCAGTTTTGCCGCTTGCCTCGTATTATAGCCGTGCTCGATGCTCCAACTGTGACCTGCCTGTATGCCGCTGACTGGCTTAGACCTCCCCCCGAGGCTGACCGCGGACAGGCCTGCGTGACCTTTGATCCCTTTGGGGTCGGCGTAATTGTAGTCAAATCAACGTGCCGGTTGGCCTCTCCCAAGTCAGCCGGTGGACTGATCGGTCGTTGCTGTTCAGGTGAGCAGTATTTAGCTTCGCGGACACATCCTATACTGTTCTCCTGTCGTTTTTCCTGCTTTGTTAAAAAAGGATTTTTTAATTTTAAAACGAATCCTCCGCATGCTCTCTTCTGCTGCTGGCGTTTCTTATATTTTTTTAATTGACACAATCTTACAACGACACTTCAATGCGGTCAAGCAATTTGCTGGTCGAATTCTAGATGACGTTGCCCATCCCCTACATTCCGATCTTATGGCTGCCAAGTCTTCCCGCCCGATGCGCCGCAACTTCCGTCTTATACCCTATCGCACATCGGCTTATCGAGCCTCTGTATTACCATTCCTAGCGCGCTATCTTACGTGCGAAGAGACAGAAATACAGAAGCTCAGACTTGAAATATCCCCATAATAATCGTTTCTTTGACTGTTGAATAATCTCTTAACTTATTTACTACCCATAGTGAATGGAGCCAATTTTTTGCTGAAAATTTTGAACTTACGATTTCAAAATAAAGCGCATTTCCTCCTCCTCCTCCTCCTCCTCCTCCTCCTCCTTTGGTCACATGACCTCTGGCCCCCAACTCCTCTCTTTTCCGTGAGCGTTGATTCCCGGTCCCTTCTGCTCGCTTACCTTACTGGTCCTGTCTGGACTGATACGAGCCTTGTACTCAGCGCCTTGTAGGCGGGACGTAGCCCGGTTGAGTGGTCTAGTCGAGGGCCAACCTACGAACACCAGTCTGGCCATTTTCATATTGACTCAACCAATTACCCTCGCATTCTCAAAGGCAAAATCGTGGTTCAGTTCTCGTATGTGGCCATAAGCCAAAGATAGCTTTTCCTTGCGGTTGATTGCAAGTTGGTGTTCGTGCAATCTTGTACCGAGGCGTTCGCCCGTTTCACCAACATGCCTCGCATTGCAACTTAGACATGGTATGCTGTAGACCACCGACGACTGTTCTGTTGTTGGTAACGGATTTTTGGGCTTCATGATTTGCTGCGTGATGTTGCATTCTGGTTTATGATCCACGTCAATCCTAAAAGGTTGCAGGATTCTCGCCGTCGCCTCTGATACGTTTTCTATTTATGGCAGGAAAAACTTACCTGCATTAAGTTTCCTCGCTATTTCATTCACGACACGTGATCGTAGCTTGTAACAATATGGTGACTTTGTGGCAGTCTGCTTCCGCGATCACCAGAGCGGCCGCTCGCCTAAACTGCATTCAATTTGCCGTATGTCTCCTGCTAGTTATTTTCTTGAGCCGCATACGTAGTAGGTGGCGCTCACCGATCGTACTTACGGAACTCACTCGTTCCCTTGTGCCTCCCGGTCTCTCTCTCGAGCCCAATCAGCAGCCGCACAACCATACTGCCTATATCATGCATCACTGTGCGGCTGCTGGTTGGGCTCGAGAGAGAGCTCGTAAGGTACAGCGGAACGAGTGAGTTCCGTAATAACGATCGGTGAGCGTCCCCACCATATTATATTCCCGGTCGAAACCGACAGGGAATCGGGCTCGTGGCCCAGCGGTTAGAGGCGTTGACCTCTAACTAACGGGTCGCAAGTTCGAGGTCCAGGTGCTCCACGTTGCAGGATTGGGTATAACTGGCTGACGACGACTAATAAGCCAGAAATGGCCATTCCAGTCTCCCTTGTTTTTGTCGGTAATAACTTCTGCATAGGTCGCTGGTTGGCTGCAGGCGAGCAAAGTCCAGTTGCGCATATGCAATTGGGGCCTAAAGAGAACGCTTGCTGAAACGGCCTACTGAGCTGCGTGTACGCTCTTTTGTCTTACTGAAAGCTGTTCAAATATCTCCGTCTTCCCTGACGTGCAAGTCGACAATTTTCGACTTAGTGCTTGTCTTTGGCAAATTCGAATGACTCATTGGCCCAGATGTGAAAAACTCGGGAACCTAGATGAGATTCGAATTCACAGCTTTGAGTATAGCCAACGGTCTGACCACCTGAACTACGATGTCCCACCAGTGAGCCGTCAGTTGTCCACCGATCACACTGCAACTATTCGTGACCCAACCGTGATCGCAGTGCGGCCGCCAGACCTGACAGCGCCCAGTCGTCACACCTGGACATAGCAAGCTGTCATCTGAGCCACGCGTTCGCTCCCCGTAGGCTGCGATAGGGAAGGGTCAAATAGGTGGAGCAAAAGCGTGCCGTTCTGTTTTCCGTCCCTGTTAGATTGACTAAGAACATCGACAATTCGGCCGTCCGTTTCGGCAGTTTCCACTGTGCGCTCTACAGCAAGACAAAGCGTGAATTAGTTTACAAGAGGAGTAGACTTGCACAGCATCTACCACACCCTCCCCTCCTCCTACTCCTCCTCCTCCTCCTCCTCCGCCTCCCCCCCCTGGCTCCGGTGTCAAGACGGAGTCGAGTAGACCGGAGAGGCCACAACTTGTTCGCATGGCGTGTTCTGCACCGAGGCGGACCACCACATCCCATGGTCCACAAGGGACACTAACCAGGATTGTCAACAAGAATGCGGAATCGCAGTGGGTGCGGAGTCAGTCTGCAACTGGGCCTGTCACCACACCGCACCAAAGTTTGGCAGTTTTTATTAGTGCACATTACTGATAACGCCTGCCGCAGAGTTGATCCAACGCATTCACAGCGTGGCCCCTTATAGGGACACCTAATTAGAACAAATGGTAAGGATCGGGCGAAGGCCCCCAAGAACCTGTGGCATACAAGGAATACCTACTATATATATTGAAGTGGGTTTAAGTCCGACCAGATTATTTCGGTTTTGTGTTTCATTGTACAAGGTTGGGTCGCCTGTTGTAGACAGTCTGATGCATTATTTACAACGACCTCAGTTCAGAGAGTTGAGAAGAGATCGTTGTCCTGCTAATTTTGGTTGCTATATGTCAATGCATTAAAACTTTTCCGCCCGAAAAACGGACTTACCTATCACCTATACTTAGTTTGCCATTCCTCTATGCATATATCTACCCCGCCCGTAAAACCCCTATTACCACCTTTCCCGTAAGGCAGGTACCTTTGGCTGGTCGTGTGTGTGTGGGATCCTTCACCTGATCGTTGCCGAACAAATAAACCACAGACTGCCAACCCAGCCTCTCCTGTCTTGTTAGCTAATATTTCTCTACATCCCCTGCTGTTCAAGCCTGTTTTCCAGTCTTTGTTGGAAGAAGGACTTGTTAGGGGTAAAATGATCTTCCTTTCTCTTTTGTTTTAATGCATTTTTAAGATCTTTCTGCCGCGTCGCAGTGTTAATGCTCGACAGTTTTTCACCTTTTATGTCATGTATTTTGGATTGAGGCAGTTTTTTGGACAGTACAAACTCTTTTTTCCCACACTTCACATGGGATGTCCTCAAAAGGTTTATGAGATGATGCACAATTATACATACTATCATGTGGTACCTGCAGTTGTACACTAAATGTCTGGTCCAGGCCAAAAAAATTAATTTTAGCGACCTGACAGATCACCTGACCTAGGTCGAACTTGCTAAGCAGGCATAATTTAATGACCCTAGCAAGCTTTATGACTAGTTCTTGTAGCAGTCAGTGGTATGCGACAGGTGTCCTTCAGGCGTGAACTGATGGAGAGGGGGGAGAGAGTGGCGGATAATTAGCAACACCTAGCCAGTAGGACGGCGTACTGTCTCTGACACAGGTGACGAGACGTCCTGGCTTGAATGGAAAAGGGTCTAGTCGTTAACATGTGATTGACAGCGTGACTGGGGTGTAGCGACGGCCTTGTGACATAGCTTTTTGGATTGTTTTTTTGTGGCCACGTAGGCATTTCAGTGAGCGTTCGACAGACTGAACTGCCAATCTGATTCAGGTGTCGCCTTTTCGGCTTGTATTAACACGCACCTGCATTCAAACTACCACCAAACGCATACGGACATGTTTATAGGTAAGGCATATTTAATTTGTTTGATTCGTATGCTCATTACATAAGATCGCAATATAAGATGGTTTGTGGCGTAAAAATTGTCGACTGCACTGCCTAATATGGGTTTGACTATGGTGAAAATACGTTGCCCTTTGAAGTCAAGACGAGTGCTGAAAGGTCCTTGATTTCGCTGCGCTCGGAGGGCAATATCTTCAAACATCTTTTTCGGGAAAACCATTCCACTCAGGAAGTGGGCCTGGTCTTCCACATTTTCAGCAGAGCAGGCTTTATCCTGGCAGTTAGAAAGTCAACTCTCTCCCTCTATGACTAGACACGAGTCTCGTGAATGAATGCATTGACCCAGTTGCCTTATCAACCACCAAAGGGGAGACCAGGCCTTCTTTGAATACTGTCCGCAAGAGAAGGTCCCTCGGAATCAAAGCATATAAATGCCGGCCTTCGCCTATGTTGCTAAATTCATCTATTCAGGGTTAGCAAAGTAGAAGGAAAAATGCTGCAAGCCCCCCTCTGCTAGTGCACCATCAAACTTATTCTGACTTATCAACCATCATCAGACAACATACCCTACAACTGGTTTTTAATGTCTCAGACTCGAGCCCAGACTCTTCTTCTACTAGACATTAAGGGGATCTGATCGCTCTACCCCTAAGAAGCAGGCTGTTTCTCTGCCGGTTGTGATCGATAGTATGAATTAAAATTGCGGAGACGCTTTGATCTCAAGGTATCCAAATAAAGACTTGAGAAACGGGTGGCCTGAGATAGTCCTAACAAACGCCTCTGTCTCTGTCAATTTATCCAACGTGCAGGGGTTTTAGACTGGATTCCATGCTGTTGTGGAAACAGCGTATTCTGTACATCAAAGAAAACAGTAAAAACCAGCACACACTAGCTAATATTCGCGACCAAAAAGGAGGGCTTGGCGAGCGAGTGCCGTGCATGACACACAGTGATCGCCCCCCAGGGCTGTCATGTGGCCGACTGATGACTTTTAAATACCAACCGGCCACCGTATGTGTGCAATCGATTTTCGCTATTGCGCCGTCCACATTTTCCACCTGTGGACTCAAACTACTAGAGGCCATTTGTTTTAATAGTGAATGCTCTTGCTTTAAAGACACTTCGCTCTCCCCCGAACTGAACGGAATCCACCACGAGTACAAATGGTATAAACTGTACATGCCCCTTGAGCCAGCTCCGAAAACCGACCGACACCACAGAACCTCACCCGTGCGGACAGGCGGGCTGATTGTTTGATATTGAGGCAGGACATGAAACATATCAGTGGAACTCTCACAACTCTCTGAAGATGAAACTTGCAAATTTTTCGAACATTGGTTTCAGAGGCTATGCTTGCAACTGTGTGACATGTGTGGCGCTATGCTCACCCGAGCAAACGAAACAACTGACGCCTCCACCCCTGGACAGGTCTTAGAACCATCAGGACGTGTTCTAGCCCCCCCAGCGGCCACTGCTGTATGATAAAGCAGGCCTGTTTTTTCTACCAATCGAAGCGGGACCTGTTGGTTGTGGCGCTCAACAGCGACAACAAGGCGTCTGACAGTCCAGTCTGTCGAACGCATGCCGGAATGTCTCTTGGAAGCGCAAAGGGAAGTCAATAAAATCCATAACGAGGTGCTCGTTTAACACTGCTCACACCATGATACTGCAAGTGCTGGTGATTAAAGTGCTCTTTCAAGCAAAGGCTGTCTGGCGACCATGGTACCCAGAAACCGCAACAGAAACGATAGGGAAACCATAGTTGTGCAGGCGATTAGAACCCGTGAGCAACACCGTTCTGTCATGGTGATATGCCGATGCTGCTTACCTTTTCAGTTTGTCTGCTCCTCTCTATATCCGTCACAGAATATATTGAGAGGCCGACTTTGAAGTAGACTTATGTAAAAAGCATGGATGGAATTAATCAAAAATGGGCTGATTGTTGGACTCTGAGGCAAGGCATTAAACACCTCAGTGGAAAGCTCACAGCTATCAGAAAATGAAAATTGTAAGGCATTCGAATATTTCCGTTAGAGGCTATGCTTACAACTGTGTGACGTGTGGCGCTATGCTCTCCCGAGCAAACACACTATTCGACGCCATGAATTCCACGCCAATTCTCCTCGGTTCCCACTCACTGGCTACTCCTAGTCTTCTTGGCCGAAGAAGGTCCAACAATCTATCCTTGGAAAAGACGCCCCGTGGAACACGGAGCGTCCAGCTATCCCCTAAGCCCGCAAAGCAAACTGTCAAAGCACGCGTGGCAAGGGGAGTACGTGGCAGGGTTGAGCTGTCTCGCCATTGGCTAGTTCATTCAGGAGATGATTGGCGCACAACAGCCAATAGTGCGGGCTCTAATATGCGTAAGTATACAGTTCTGGTGATATCACTAAGCCCTGCTCTGGTTCACTTCGGGACGTTCAGTTCGAAGTCTACGGATGGTAACGTCAGCGCGGCGGCCGCTGACGTACTCTGTGTTGCTCGTCCTGCGTTGGTTGCGATGTCGTTTTGGATTACTATACCGGGGCTTCGGTGGTATCTACGCTCTTGTTCTACTCTCATCCACCCTCATCTGTCTTCAAGTCTTCGGCGTACTGGAAAACCTGCGGGCCATTCCTTTCCAAGAGGCGTTACTACGGTACCAGCGGTCCGAAGCCTTGATCACCTTTCAACGGGAAATTAAGAATTTGGCACCGAAGCAGATCCAAAACTCTTTCCATCCCAGCTTTCCGTACCTACACACTGCTAGTGATATATGTGTCCGCGAATCGGATAATGGAAAAAAGACCCTTCCAGCCGTTGTTCTGATTAAATCAGCAATAGACCATCGAGAACATCGGGAGGTCATTCGGGCTACGTGGATGCGCGAGGTGTGTTTTTGAATTTATCTCCATTGTTTTATGTCGTTGGTTTAATCTCTACAGTAATTCTCAGGACGCCTTGGCAGTTTTAATGATGCCAACGACGACGTTTACGCATGTCAAGTCTGAATTCCTTGGGAAACTATGGAGGGATCATGGTCAACCGTGCTTTTCTTCACTTTAATAATATTGGGCTGAGAGGAAGAAAGTAGGCAGACAGGTGGACAACCGTCAAGATGTGATATCAGTCCTGCAACTCATTTTTCATTACTCTGTCCAGCCCTCTCCGAGTTAATTTCCACTTGCCCCTGAAGTGTAGTTGTGGTCTAAAAACCTTTTTTGTCTTCAGTTTTCGAGCTACATCTTTAAGACGCAGCGATTTGTGAAGCGGACGTTACGGCTTCAATGCTGATTACTAAGCTTCCTGCCCTTCACACACTCACACATAGTTCCGGCAGACCACCTCACCAAAACTCCGACAGTGTACACAATATTGACGTAGTGGTCTTCCATCTATTCACCCAATCACAGAACAAAGACATTTTTTACCATGTAAGTAAACTGGGAAATAACTCCTCAGATAATTTGTTTCTAGTCCCACTCTCGGAAAGTTGAACATACCGGGCGATCGTGAGGCTTCTTGAAAGTTTGAACCAAACAGCTACAGGTCAAATAGTGGACTACGTCGTCTCGCAGCATAAAATAGACCCTGTTAACCTGGAAAATGTACCTGAACCGACGGCCAAACGGAGCAAATTTTGAGGACGACGACTGCATACTTGACCTCATTCCTAGTAGATGGTTGCAAGAACATGTTTTTGTGTGTGTGCTTGTGTCCTTTGACTTCTGAGATCGTGCCGTTGTTTGTCCTGCTACCTAGCGTGGAACAGAGACTAAGCCTGACACACACACACACAACCTGCTGTGTTAGCTTTGGATTGGATATCTGCAAGCCAGCTGTGTACAAATTGTCAACAAAAATATCGGCAAGAGTAGCCGACGTGTGTTATAGACGAAGAAATGGAAAACTAAAGTGACAACTTCTGCTTTATTTGTCCTATTGGACTACCCAGCGCTAAACTCCTTGTCGGGGACCGTGGTTTAAATCCGAGCCAGTTGGTCATCAAGGCTTTTTAAGTCCAATGCTCTGTCACCTGAGCTAATGACCCACATTTCCCCCCCGAAAGGTTCCGATTGACACTCACCGCTCTTTGCTGGACAGCAACTGGCATCCGTCGCTTCGTTTTGGACATTGATGTACAGTCAAAATTATAACAGTCCAACTCAAGCAATATTCTATCGTCGAAAATTCATTCTGGAATTATAGTTAACATTTCACGAGATAGAACATCAACAATATGTATATATATTCACCTAGGAGTGGACGCACACCGATCCATTGACTTCTGAAAGCAAACATGCTCCGTATGAGTGATAAGGGTCACGAACAGACAACCTCCTACGAGGCTGAAGTCAGCCAAGCTATGATAGCCGAGAGGAGACGGCGGAGTCCGCGGGGTAGAATGGTAGAGAACTGTTTTGGCTTGTCTGACTGCATTCAGTCACCCGTAATCCTAATCGCTAACTGAGACCGGAAACGCGAATATGCGCAGAGGTACACCTGATGCAGCTAGTCCACCACTGAGGTTTACCAGATGGGTCATACACACCTCATCGAATCGAAGTTCATCAGTCCTTTGCCAGGGGCCATTCTCCATTTTCGACTCAAATGTTCATTAGAATTTCAGATCTGACGCTAAAAAGCAATGTCCCGGAAACTCAACTCTATGTCTTGCACTTAATAATTTCTGAAATTATTTACTCGACTTTTTTCTGGAGTTCATATACAAGAAACTGCATAGAGAACGTTAGAGGACCCACTGAAGGACCTAACGCATCGCGGCCGCGTCGCCCAGCGGCAGTATATCGGTGAATCATGTGTCCGGGCTTTTAGTTTTTACCTATGTCGGGAGTACGGTATAATACCTTTGAACGGGCCGTCAGCCAGCCGGTAATTTCCTTCTGTTTATATAATACTGGTCTCCGCGCCTCTGCCTCTCCGCGCCTCTGCCTTAGATCAGTTCCTAAAGCCCAACGAGACGAGCGTCTCAAATAACACGACTGGTAGTCGTGCTTCCAGTAGGTAAAGTAGCTGGCTATCCTCGTAAAATGCCGACTTAGACAGGCACGAAACGCTAATTATCGTGCGACATAATTGCAAGACATTTCCGTCGCGCAAGGATCCTGCGTTTTAAATGCGTGTCTATCCGACCGCCTCCAGAAACCACACTACAAAAAATGAATACGTAAGATGCATGAACCTTTCCAAATTGATTTTTTGAGCCCCCCATAAAATTAAACATATTTTTATAAAACATGGATAAAATGTTCTCTTTTGTGCGTCTTTCGTAGCAAATTCGTTTTCTTCAAAGGAAGTGCTCAAAGAAAACTCATCTTTTAGTTTAAAAGGAACCTTTTCAGTTTTGGATAATTTCAAAATCTGCCTGCATTTGCACTTGTACTTAGGTCTTTAGAACTACATGCCGGATAGGTTTCGTGTAGTGAAAATCATACAATTCACTGAATTATGAGGAAGGCGTCATATGAGTCTTATGCAATGTTGCATCCATTATAAACTGACAGTCACGATATCGTTGGAGTGGATATATTACGGTCTTAAGCATCTCATAAATAGTGCATTTTTCAAAAACTAAAAACGTGATTACTTTGGGCACACATTTTAAAAAGCGTAATTTACCTTCAAATCAATATAAAAATATTTTCATGCTTTTTGTTTAAAATTTTAATTTACGAGGGTATCGAAAACCGATTGTTAGAAATATATGCGACCTACACTGACTGTGGTTTTCAATGACTGCCGGTAAAAAAGCGCGTTCAGAGGACTGCATCTCGCCGTGACTGAGATTTCTTACGGTTGTGCCGCTCGATACTCAGCGTTGAAACCCTGCCCAAGTGATCCCTTCTAATAGAATAAAAAAACATTTCAGAATTTCGGCTAAAATGTTAATAGTATTATTCATCTACCTGAAAAGGCGAAAATGCAGAGCAGGCGAGTTCGCCGACTGAATCATATCTGGACCGATGTTTCCTACACTCAATCGCACTCCTGATGATAGAAACGATCGATGTTTCTGCTAGCCTTAATCTATCCAGTCTTACCGCCTGTCTTACATTACAGTCAAGCTCGACGCACTGCACGAACTATTGCATGCATGTTCGTTGATTAATAGCTTTGTCCGTTGTTTGCGAGTGAGAAAGTGATGGTCAATATTACGGTAATTTTCTCCTTAAAATTCGTCATCGTCTGCTGACAATTTATATTTAAGACATTTCGGCACGTCCTTTTCATTCAGAGGCCAATGCAGAAACTTAAGCGGGGCGAAGCTGGATGACTTTTTATTAAAAAAACTCACCAATTTGCATGCTGATGGCGGTTGTATTGTCGTGATTATGCTTCAGGAAGTGGCATTTAAGGCTGCCAAAAATTATACAAAAACGGATTCACTAAGGGCTGTACACGGCAGCACCCACGACTGTCTTTTATGAAGGCATTTCTCGATGGTGCATTAAGACAAAACGCTACCGCGAGAGGAGAGATCCTCGGAGCACAGCGGGACGTGTAAGTTGCGTACCTCGATCGGTCAGTGTCCCTCCCCAATCACAATTTCACTTCAATCGAAATTTCACCAATGCGATCCTGCGAAAACGTCTCTGAAACCTGGCTGCTAGTCCACTGAATCCAATTATCTTGCCAACTGGAAGCGCTTCTACCCCCGACTTTCAAGGTCCGCCTTAGCCACCTGGACTGTCGAGAAGAAAGATGAAGTTCGGCCTCATTCTTTACCATTCTTCCAATTTTTCTCCAGTGGCCTATTATTCCAGGCACGGTTTCTGATGCAGCGTGTTTTCCGATCTGTAGTTGTTACGACGGCTTTTCGTCGTCTGTTTCTACCAGCCAGTTCAGCCAAACTTCACACCTCCAGAGGAGTCGCGTCTGTGATTCTGAATTCTCGCGCTTGCGGCCCTCCACATGCAGACTACATCGCGGACGAGTTGGAATAAATGGTGGCTACACCGGATCATGGCATGTGTATATTGGACTGTGTTCGATCTAGGCGTACTCATAACTACCGTTGTGCATGCATGTGACGTGTCGTAGACGGGAGTTTTTCTGTCGCGTCGGTCATTGCGTAGAATCCTCATGTGTTGATTGAGAGGTTTGGACAGTGGTCTGGTGCATGAGAGATGGAGACTAAGGCTGACCCTGGGGACGAGGCCATCCTTACAGCGGAACGCCGCAATAACCACTCCTGTCTTTTATGACCTGCTGTCTGTCGTGACCGGGGATGCTTCCAACTGACTTAGGGTCAGACTGCCATGTCTCCTTAATGAATTCTGACGCATGTGCATATGGGTCTCATGTCGTGTGTTAAACACGTATACGATGGCAGACTCGGTTGCCGACAGACTGAGACCCTCCCGCCCCCAATGTTGTTGTTGGTTAAAAACCAGATCATCTGCTGTGTGCACCAGGGGTGTGGAGTGGAGCGTCAAGGTGCGGGCTCGACCGCGCCATCCACTTGCGTCCCACTCCCCGCCACCGGTCTTCTTGACTCTGTCTTGACACCGGGTCCATGCGAGGGAGTAGGGGAGAGTGCGGTAGGTGCTGTACAAGTCTACGTTCACTATGAACTGAATCACGCGCAAGTCATCGTGCCTGCCGTACCTTGATGTGTGGTCATCGTCGAAATCGACGGTCCAACAAACATACGGTATGTTTTTTTTTGTTCAGCCGTTGAACCCACGTTCACATCTAATTGTCCTGATTTTGTTTTGTTGTCACAAGACGCTGGGTGTGATCATGGAGCGAAAGGTAGATGCAGCGTAATTTTACTACAGTATAAACAAATTCACGCTTAAGCCACTTTTCTGCCCAGCTCATGAAACAGTAGCAGGCAACGGCAGAATGATCAGTTCTGAAGACACACTGAGAAAGAGCTATTCCGCCTCCATTCATCCGGCTGTCATGCTGTTCCCCAGCTATTCAAGTCATAATTGTTATCGCTAATCAGCAGCCTGATTATAAGTTACTTTGATTTGCAGTGAAAAAAACGGTCAAGAAGGGGTACACACCTCGTCGTAACCGCTTTATAAAGTTATATCACTCTCTGGTGAGTTTGCGTTGGTTAACACCTGTTATTATCGCACTAACCTGAGCTTATCCGTGCTTAATGGCTTTCGGGCTGTAGCCTGTTTGGTTGCTGTAAACAGAACTGAGGTCACGCATGGCTTCGATAACCCAACTGCTGCTGGTCGCTGACGTAAGCTCGGTCGCAGACTTGCTGACTCTTAAAGCCTGCCTTGAACGCCATCTATTCGTTATACTGAAGGCCTTTGGTGCTCAGGTTATGCTTCTCACTTCAGTAACACGCTGTGATACTTAGTTGAGTCCTCATCGGGGGCGCAGTAGGAAGTCATTTTTCACTCTTCTGCTGTAACAAGTTCTCGCTGCTTCCGTCACTAAGCTTAAAGTGATGCAAAAAGATTGGGAGGCCTCCTTGTCTAACTGAATCTCTCTGCTCGCACTTAAACTTCGTAGCAGCTTGCAAAATCGCTGAACTTCGGTGCCTTTTTGACAAGGTCATTCATATAGCTAGCTACCTGTACGTGTCTGTCCTCGTGTATTTCATCAGCGCTCTTTTATTTTCGCAGGCTTGTTGTCTGCGACATGCCCAGCAAGAAAGTTTCCTTTTTTCTCCTACAACTGCACCTCCACGGGAAGCCTATGGCTTCCTTGTGGCTGTAAAATTGTTGCTTGAACGACGATACCGGTATGTCGAGGGGAATTTCTGACGACCAGGATGGGTATCTGTCTGATGCCGTGGGCGGTAGCTTCTATTCCAGCCTTGTATTTGCTTCTGATCTATCGTGTTCTGACTCTCTGTTGTCAACTAAAAATCCTATGTGTCCGCTGACTCATCCCAATCTAGGAGATCAAATTAGTGAACGCCAAATCATTTCCACGCACTAAATCCGTTGTCTTCGTCCTCCCGTCTCATGAGCTCACCTGCCTGCCGGTATCAAAATGCTCTCACAAGCGTGCTCTTTAAGCTCTGTGCGGCGTCATGTCGATCGGGTTACTCAGTCAGCCCTCAGAACAACGGAATTCAGGTCCGTCTACCTGATTCCTACTCTTTGACGATTCTACGGCCCAGGTGCGCTAACGCATCCGGTCTGTTTATCGTCTTCCTCAGTGAAAGATCGTTTGTTTGTGCACATCTGTGTGTCACTCTCGTCGCCTTGCTGCCGCCAAGGCGGGAAGCGGGTGGGGGAGAGAAGGTTGAGTCATGCTCCTATCTATTTTGTACACACTAACGTGCGTGCGTGTGTGTGTGGGGGGTGCTGCTAGGGCCTCAAATTGTAATTCCTTGTTTGGCACTGCCTCCTCAGCCCGACTGATGAATGTGTGTGCGTGTGTGCCCTCCTGTTGATTTTGACCTGCTGGGCACTGTTGCCTGTCTGTGGCCGTCCTGCGTGCCTTTGTAGCGCTAGCACGCGGACAACCTTTGCGCTAAGGCTTGCAACCCCTTTTGATCTTCAAACTGAGGCTGAAAATAGCTTTACCTCAAACCTGGGCTATGGAGCCCCACTGCGGGTGTCCTATCGCTAAATCCCAGGGGAGGACCTGTTCCGTGTCCTAACATTGACCCTAACCCATGTACATCCAACCATAACGCTAGCACTAACGCCAGCGTCACTGGGATTTAGGGCAAGGCCAACTGCGCTAGAGGGGTCCGTGTCTCCGTGTCCAAGCAAGCTGTTGTTGCGAAGGATTTACTCCACTTTCTCACGTTAATTTCTAAAGAAATTAAAAAGGTCCCTCCCTTTCCCTTCTTCAAAAGTTGGCCTGCATATGGGAGCGGTCTACTTCAATAGTTGGCCCTGTCAAGCGGAGCATACTTTTAATGTGTACTTTTATCGCTTACCGCACGAAATGTCTTTCACCCAGTTCTCGGCAATTCTTTCGTACGCTTTGGGTTGGTTTCCAACCGCCCACTCTGGAATGCGTCAACGTATCAATACTTGTCACATCACTTAATGGTGGCTCCAAAACGAATAACACTGATCCTTTATCCACGAACTAGGTACATCCGCTGACGTTTCAGCCTGTTAGTGAGGCTGCTGGGGGGTGCTACTTCGTAGTTCTAATTTCGGAATGGGTGTAAGCACCATCGTTTGGCGCTGAATTCTTGGGGGCATTGAGGTTAAAGATAGGACGCGAAAATAGGTATCCCCCCAATGGAATGTGACGGAGGGCAGGCTGTAGTAGGGACTAGGACAGTTTCAAACAAAAAGTAAAGAGACGAGCCCCAGAAAACGTCCATGAAGAAGGAGGCATGGTCACTGGACCACGAGCTTTATGCGCCTGATGTCTCGGAATCCCACTCGAACCCACCCTCAGAGACAGCAGCCGGCTTTGCTGCCGTACCGTCCATCCACCTGAAAACATGGAAACGTTCGTTAAATGATGAAACAAATAAAACCGCGGAGCTTGATTCTTAGTCATCTGTCAGAAACTGCTGCATTTGTTTTGATGTTAAGGGTAGAATGTTTTATGCCGAAAGACTACTCAAAGTGGAATTGAATTACATATGAGCTCGTCTTAGATACCAGCCACACGCATTCACACGGCAGTTTGACCGTCGTTACCGACGATGTCCACCGTATAATTCACAGAAGGGTGAGGGCGTGAACGGTGAATTGCGCGCGATTTTCTTTCGTGATAGTGAACTTGCGTAGTCCCTACTGCACTCATCCTCTCCCACCTGGAGGCGGTGCTAAGAAAAAGTCAATAAGACCGTAGACGGGAGAGGGCAGGACGAAAATCCGCACCTAGACCTACTACTACACGGTCTTTTCCAGTTTCAGTTTGTTTGAGGGAACTATAGGTGTTGAACCTTTGAACTCCCTGTTTATTAAAAGGAAGCGAACTATGTAAATAATTTGAAAATGGAAACATTAAACAGCTGCAGAGTTTCTTCAGATTTACGAAGTTTTCGAAACCAGACAGATAAACGAATTTTTCCAAGTGTTAAAAACATTAGCGTCACTAAATGTGCTGTACAGTAGTCTGTCTATGGATAATTGGTGCTATCTCAGTTTCTGAGGGGGACGAATTGAATGCCAACATTCATATTCAACAGACATGGGACGGGGATTTTATACACCAGAAAATGGGTGGGCAGCACCGACCCCCATTGTTGCGGAGTAAATCGCAATTAGGCGTGCCATCACACCTCATGTTGACATTTGGTTATGCGCATTGCCGATAACGTCTGCCGGACTCCATTCTAGATCCAGCGCATCTACCGCCGTGCTAAGGCAGTTAGCACGGCGAAAACCCGCAGCATGACCTACCACCCCACCTGATCCACAACGTACACTGACCAGGATTTTACGCAACAGCAAGAAATGGTGTTAGCTCGAATTCAACTGGTTGAAAGTAGCCTACAGCACTACGAAGAGTCCATTGCCAGCCTGGTTCTCAGTTCACCAGCCTGCCAATCCATACAAAAACACGCTGGACGGACTGAGAGGTCGGAGTTATCCCGTCATTTGGCAAACTTCCATGCCACGACCCTTAGGGCACCGTGATAGATTAATGCGCGCCGGATTGCTTGTAGTGAGGAATATGAACTGCGATCGTCAACCTCGTGGTCCCACGGCAGCCAGGTGCCATAAATACTGCACTGCTTGTGCCACCATCACCTTTACTTGCGACTGTCTCTGATGGTGGATTCGAGTGAGAATGCGAAACGTCCGGCCAATAGATTTCTTGTTCCAGTGATCGCATCTTCGTCTTCTGAACTGCTACCTGGAAATCGCCTGTTCGCTTCTATCAGCAATCTCATTCTCTAGTACCATTTTAGGCACCAGTCCACTGTCCGAGAAGGTCAGACGTCTGATGCCGGGAATGAACGCAGTGGCTGATAGAGTTAGGGAGCTCGTCTGTGCGTGTCACACACACACACACATACACACACACACACGACAGTTCGACCAGCGATTTCGATAATGTCCACCGTGTGTCCCACAGAATGCATTGTGAAGCAGGGACGATGACTTACGCAGGGGTTTATAGTGCCAGTAGACTTGCGTAGCATCTACCTACACTCTCTCCTCCTCTTCCGCCTGAGCCCGGTGTCAAGTTCAAGTCAAGAAGACCGGAGACGGGGGAGGCCGCAGGTGGATGGCTCGGACGGATCCTCGCCTTGGCTCTCCACTCCGCACCCCCTGGTCCACACACAAATGACCAGGATTTTGACCACAAAACAATGGGGTGGAGGCAGTGGTCCAGTTGTGCGACGATTGCCGACAACAGGGTCTGCCAGCGCACCCCGCAAGTGTTGGCATTTGTTATTGCTCACAGATAACGCCCGCCAGAGTACGATGTGGCCCCCCGTGTTGGTCCAGAGCATCTAACACGTTGCCTGTTTAGAAAGCACAACACAAACACACACACACACAAAATGATCACCCGTACAAACACACAGAGATCTCACACACGAGGGTGTTGGATGCTCGGATCTCACATATACTAGGCAAGCCACATGGAAAATTGAGCCGAAAAGCACACCTCACAGTTACGTGAGAGTTGCCAGTGATGTGGGATGTTGGAGGCGATTATGTGTGATGTGTGTTCACGGGGATGTGCGTGGCGATGTGTTCATGTCCGCGATGATCTATCGCGGGTTTTCATCAATGCACATGGCACAGAATAGGCCTATTTGATTGTGCGGGACTGTGCGCACAATTAAGACGATGGAGTCTGACGTATACTGGTGCTCCAAACACTGGTTCGTCAGTCTGTGCGATGGATTCGCTGGTGACCGACCAGATCGATACATGGGGTGAAGGTGCAGTGACAGCGTAGGACATGTTGGGTCTGTTGTGGTTGTTGTTGTTGTGTTGCTGCTAATGGTGGGCGCGCTGGTCGATGTGGAGTTGACTAGGCTGGGAATGGTAGAGATGGTGGATATGTAAGGTGTGTTAGGTGTGTCGATACTGCAGCCAATACGGCTGTTGCGTATACACATGTGACCGAACAGGCCAATGTGGTGTACGAATGTGCGAGGACACAGTGTGGAGAGTGAAGTCGAATGCGACGAGTGTACTTGGACTTTTGTTCTTGGTGAGTCGGTCGCAGTACGAAGGATTCGCAAGTGACTAACGATACCGATGAGTAAGGTGAATGTGCGATCGCAATGGGAATAGGTTACGACCCAGTCCATTTCGCTGGAGGTAGGTGTGATTTTGGTGAGGGTGGTGGTTGGCGAGTCGTCGGGAGCGCATTGTTCAGTGGTTAGAGTGTGAGTTGTAGGAGTCATCGTCTTGACTGTGAAGGCTGCGGCAGGGATGCTGGAGGTTGCGGTGACAAATGGCGACGGGAAATGGAGATGTTGATCATCGGTGCTGAGGACGGTCGTCATAGTGGCCGCGGTGAGGGTTGGAGCAAAGCCGTTAAGCGAGACAGCGTTTGGGGCCGTCGAGTTGGTGCATTGAGTCAGAAGATGTCCGACTTGGCTGATCCTCGCAGACATGTTGGGAAGGGTTGGGATCAGCATTGCATGAGAATTGCGGGCTTCTCTTTTGGCTTTAACAGCGCCGACCTGCTTGACCTCAAAGATGTCTGCTCCAGTCTTCACTGCTCTTCTTCTGACCAGTGGTGTCAAGTATTTCTTAATCTTCGGGTTGATCTGTAGCCGCTTCAAGAAATTTTTCCAAATTTTCTTGTAACGACGTGTCCGACCTCCTTGCGGGTAAGGACCCGTGGCGACATGTCGGCGGAAGAGTTGTTTGGTAGGCACTCGTTGTCCATCTTCATGAGGCGGTTGCTTCATCGTAGTTGCAGTTGCCTCAACATGACATGGATGCCGAGGATTCCAGTTCCTTCCGAAACCTCTGTGTCCGGCACCCTGTCCTGTACGTCTTTACTCTTCCTAGGCCTCCCACATACCCATTTTGGAAGCGTTTTCATCTACCCCCAGCAGAGATAGTAGTCAGAAGCCCAAGCACGCGCTTGGTTGGTTTTCAGTCAGCTCGCGACTCACCCCCAAAGTCTGCTGCTCTTCATTGGTTCTCGGCGTTCCCTGTGTGCTTTTTGGCATAATTGTAGTTTGTTATGTAAAAACCGTTTTAGATCTTGTTTTTGTTGTTACTTAATTTGGCTAGATAGGTTGTGTATTTTGCTACTGGATTCCTTATAGAGACGAGAGAGTGTGCTACATTTCCACGACGCTCCCCATGATGTGGGACCGATCCTACTTGAAAATGTAATTCTTGCTGACGGCTGGATATCAACTGACATCCTCATTGCTAGAACCGATATGCTACAATAGGGTTGAAACGGGACCAGCATAACTTATCGAAGAAGATTCTTCTTCCTTTTTATCGCCTCCCATCATGACAGATCCTTCGCTTTCTGACCCATTTCTGTTGCTGGTTAAAATCCTGGTTAATCGTTTTTTGTGGACCAGAGGGTGTGATGGTAGGTAGGAGTAGGTCCTGTCGCGTAAGCCACCTGCGCAGTCTAATGCCTCTGATCTTCTTAACCATATCTTGACACCTAGTCCAGTTGGGGAGGATGAGAGAGTGCGGCAGACGCTGTGCAAGTCTGACCTCACTATAAACTACTTTACAAACAAGTCACCGCGCCTGCTTTCTCCTTGATGTGGAGCATACAGTGAGCATGGTCGGCAATGGCGTCGAACTCTCATGACAGATGGTATGCTTAATACGGCGTTCGCTGTCTTATACCCCGGGTTGGAAGCTCCGACATGCCGCTCAACATGCGCGCTTCCGCGCCGTTTTCGTGAAGTGCGAAATGTCTAATAGCTGACCTACGGTAACATGGACAGGCGGTGTCGTTTGATTACGCGCACAGTATTCTCTTCTGTGGTCAGGGCTTAAGAAAACTTATCCAATAGTTGCCGTAGTTCCTCATATTTTTGGTTCCTTTTCTTAACCTTCTCATCGATTCTACTGGAGCATCCGACGGCTTCTGCTCATTGTAACCGTTTTTTGGATTTTGTACGTACTGTTTGAATACCAGCCATGAAAATTTTTGATGCAATATTCCCTTCGTTAGGCAATAAGATGTCAAAAATGTGATTCAAAGTCAGCCGGCAAAACTGTCCTATTGGGCCGAACTAAAAGCCGCTAATTCAGCAACAGTCAGAAATCGCGCCAACAGATTCAATCAACAAGCTGAGACGTCTGCTTTTGAAACCCCAGGTTGGATCCACGCGGCGTAGCACAGATAGCTGCGACTTTCTAACTTATGCTAATTAGCACAGGCGAAGGAATTTAGACATTTGAGACATTCTGACCTGATTTCGGAACCACAATGATTGTAAACACAAAGTCTGCCGCCGATGGAGAAATGCAAAGCACTCGCGATTGGGCTTATTAAAAAAACACCCCAAGTTCTGTTTCTTTCAAAACCCTGTCTGTAGTACAGCCTATCTCAAGTCTGAGCCAAAAAGAACCAGAGGCGAGTTTCGGGGCATTGTATGACAAAGAAAAAGTGGCTCAGAAAATGAAGATGCGATCACCTGAACAAGAAATGTATTTGCCTGACGTTTCGGATTCTCAGTCGAATCCATCATCAGAGACATTCGCAGATAAAGGGCTTGTCTGCGCGCGCCGCACAAAAATGACCAGACTTTCGCTAAAACACAAGAAACATCATCGTACCCAAACTAAACGAAAGTGTCATGGGGAGGCATCTACAGACTGTCCGATGGAAGACAATGTCCAGAAGAAGACAGGTAGTGGGCGCGATATGCGGGGGATAGATTTCAAGCGTCGCTTGCGTATTATAGGGAATAATTCGTGAGGATGCATTCCCTAGTGTCGGCCTCCATTTCTCATCTCTCTTGCTGGCTCTCTCTTCCTCTCTCTCTCATGAACCTGTCGACTGTCCTAGCTTGTTATCCAGCTGTTGCTGAGACCAGGCGTAGTGACTGACAAAGCTAAACATCTCCTGGTTGGGGACGGGCTCTGTCGGTCGCACCACGTTCAGGCGGATTTTTGAGTCAGAAAAGTGAGCAACTGTTCTGACAGCCGCGAGTGAGCCGGTCAAAGGAGATCCACTTCACGTCTTCTTCCCATTTCATACTCAAAAGAAGAGTATTATTCGGTTTTAAAAAAGTTTCTAATTGTGAGATTTTTTAATATCGTTAAATTGCCGTTCATGAAACGTCATTTATCTGCATTTACGAATGTGGCTTTAAAGTTAACAATATTGCTCAAACCCACTGCTTAATTTTATGAACCTCATATGGTCTCCTCTTAACACCGTAGAGAAATGCATGGTTTTCCGTACACGGAAAATATGCAGCTTGTAGTTTTGAAACCCTGAATAAAAGTGTAACAGCAGGTCGGGTTCAAAGTTATTCGGGAATTAGAAATGTTTTTTAAAACCGAATTATACTCTTCTTTTAAGTATGAAATTGGAAGAAGACGTGATTATCTACCGAAGACGTAAAAGAATGAATATTGTTATGCATGTTTTCCATGAAATCAAATTGAATTTTCAAGGGCATCGAAAATCAATGAGAAAATTGCATACTACTTAAGTAGTCATTTTTTGCAGAGCATAGTTATTGCATGAAGCCGTAAATATGTTCCTTCGAAGGCCGACACGCTGAGGTAACTGGAACATTATAGATTTATGCTGCATCATGATTAGTTTTATTACACTACTTAATTTATCTTTTCGAAACGAGAACGAATTTCGTAGTTTTGGTTGACATTTCATGAGTTAGCACATCTACTGTACCAAATGCTCCGCAATGCTTTCGACTACCAGCTCTCTTTATTCCGGTTCCCTTCTGACATTTAATTCCATTCAAACAATGTCCGCGTATAAAAGCTGTCTCCGAAAACCCTCGAAGGACCTTAAACTCATCCCGTTTGACGACTGGCATGTTTCGGTGATATCGCACTTGTCAGTATAGCGTGTGTGCATAGCTGTTGTGAGGGGGCATTTGCAGCGCGTTCGTCGGTTTTCTGTAGACTGTCGTCGCCAACTGGCGTTATATTGGTGGCAGATGATAGTATCTAAGAAGGGAAGTCTGTCCGCCACTTCCTCCTCCATCGTGAACTGCAGATTGAGGATGATGGACTCCAGCCGTCCTTTTTACAGTATTCAAATCCGATTGAGGGGCGACACATGTAATGTAAATAGGGTGAATGATTAATTCCCGCAGTTAGCACTGACGACTAGAGCTTCGGGCGAAATGCACCATATATTAACGTCTGTGCACAGGCATCTCCAGTCTCTCTGTGTTCATTCCCCGAAAGCATCCAGCGTTTGCGTCTGCGATCCTGGCCGCAGTAAGTCCTGTTCAACTTTTCACTTGCAAATTTTCCAGCTAGTGTGAACCAACCTGATCCTTTCATTAACCGCAAAGCATACCGCGCTTTAGACGTCTTTCTTACACACTGGACTCGTTCAACTAGACACAGGTGCGCCGGGTTTATGATAGCAGGGAGAGACGCAGCGTCGCCCAGGTCTTATCTAGGTATTAGCCTCCTCGCCGTAAACGCTTTGCTTGACGTCAGTTGTGGCTTGGTAAATTACTTATTTCCCGTTCCAATTCCTCCTCCGAACTGACAGTCATGCCGACGTGAAATCACTGTAAGTGAGGGTCGTTTTGCGTGGAGCAAGTAATCAGTGCGTGTTTGCGGCGCACGCAGATCACAAAATTTAACGAAGTCATTCTATGTGCCGATTCTACCCCTTAACAATTCAGATCGTGCCTTTCCACTGAAGCCCGAGAAGGAGGGGGCGTGAGAAGATTACCTCATGTCTCCAGCAGCTGTAGCACAACTCACATCGTCGCTCACATCGTCGACTGTCGACCGCCACCACCACCACCACCACCACCATCATCATCATCATCATCATCATCATCATCATCCTCATCCTTATCATCATCGTCTTCGTTGTTATCTTCGTCAGCACCGGCGTCAGCATCATATTCTTCCTCATGTTTTCTTCTTCTTTTTCCTCTTCTTCTTTTTCTTCTTATTCTCCTTCGAGGAGACGGATTGGCGGTACTATCTAGATTGGTTATAAAATTTCATGAGTCGATTAATGAAAAATTTTACCCGTTTAGCAAAGGCCTCTACAATTCCTAATCGCTCCATTATTGTGCAAAATATCCACTATTTGATACCACCGACTTTTATGTCGAATATCGACCAGTTCATTCTCGTCACTTTCTTTGTCGGCAAAGCATCTATCGAGTAACTGGTAGCTTTTTGAAACTGTTCAGTTTTTGATTTTATGTAAGCGATTTTATGCAAACCCATTGTTCGACAGCATGACTTTGCCGAAGTAAATGCGTATCACCCCCTGGCACTTATGGAAAAACCATCTCATCCTGCTTGAAGGAATTTTGATAAGGTGTATTCGTGTGATCTTTTATGAGTCCAATTTGAAACTTTTTTGGTTTCGCTGGAGACCATCCTCCAAGTCACCCTTCTCCTCCACTTGGCAGCTGGCTTGAATGCCGAAGTGTGTCGCACTTTGAATGAGGTCAAGGTTATTGTTCGCCAAAGGACAGAAGCTCAGCCCAGAGAGAGAGAGAGAAGGAGAGAAACTGCACTTCTGCCAGAGTCTGAATTCGAGACAGCTTCTTCGGCTGTCGTATGAAGTCCAGCCAGTTTAGCCAATGTGCCGAACCTCCCGATGTGGGCGATTCGGTGATGCAAAGCCTGGTTCGATTGATTTGAGGAAGTTCAGTCGCGTTTTGTTGAGCGTAGACGTGACCAGTCCTTTTAGCCTAGTCTCGTTTTGGACCCCAGACGATTTGATGGCTCGGTGAGATGAGGGGGAGGGTAAATTCGACACCATTAGCACTCACCAGCGAAATCAACACCAAACCCTAACCCCCACGCAAAAGTACAGCGTTGGTGGTCCAACGTAGTTCCGGTAATTTTCCCAAAAAATATGTGACATTTAATGCGCGTGCAGGACTCTACGGCAGTTTAGCAAACACGCCGTTTTGATTTAAACTTTCAGCCGACTGTTCCGAGTCTCATTTCCATTAGAGACGAAACCGTTAGATATGCTTGCTTTACACAAACCGAAATACTCAAAAAATGGCGTAGATTTGTATGTATAGCATGCTGGTCTATTACCCAGCGTTCTATGAGGAAATTTTCGGAGTTTATTTTTGATAAATTCGCAATTTTTGCTTAGATCCGACTATATTTTCGAAAAGGAGTTCACGAGAGTCCATTTCAGGGTGTACAAATGAGGAAATTGCGTCGAAGTTGGGGTGGGGGCGGGGGGAGGAGGAAAACCGAGAGTTCGAAGCATTTTGTCACCGGTACGAAGCTGAAGTTGGCAAGCAGGTCAGGATTTAATGGTCCCAGAAAATTTCGTGACGGCTCGTCAGCTGCGTTCTGTCGCGTCATAACATAGATAACGAGTGGGAAGAATAGAACAGATTTGAATTCGTGCAGAAAATCAATGCAGAGACAACAAGATCATGGTTTTGGGTATAGTTGATTAATCGATGAAGTTAGTAAATCAAACACCGTATGGGAAGAATAACGGAAAAAGGAGGGGGGGCGTTACCAACCAACAAGAGGAGAGCAAACGGGAAAACCATGGGGATAGAGGCTACCATGGCAATGTTAGGTTGACCATGTGTTCCAACTGTTTACAAAGATCTGGTTTTACCCGCCGCGTGGTGGGAAATTACGCCCCACGTCTTGTGCAATCCAGAACAGAGGACTGCATTGAGCTTGTCGGCCGCAACAAATCCCGCCTGCATAAGACGAAGCATTTTCTTGATAAGATAAATTCCTTTTGTTGGTCTATGTTCATTAAACATGCATGTATCATACAAAAGACGACTAGGGAAACAATTCGGCATAAGTTATTGAAGTCAATTAGCAAGAAATCTACTTAGGATATTTTTCCATTGAACGCGGAAGACCTTATTTATAATCTGTCTGACATTGAACTTACTGAATTACAAACAGAGTCTTTGTCCTTAGGACTTGAGTTCTGTGTCCCGAACAAAGGGATGTATCCTGTTGAAGTAGACGTGCAATTTGATGACTTGAATTCTCAATTATCTGAACTAATACCCAGATCTTCTGACGACGTGTGCTGGCTGAAAGCAAATTTTTTTGATATTTCGCACCAGTACCGCAGAGCTCCAATGACACAACGTACACCTATTAATAAAGAACACATGACTGCCCTATCCGCTTTAAAGCATCATAAACGAATACCAATTTCCAAACCTGACAAGGCGCATGGGGTTGTCATTCTAAATCGCAGTGACTACGTGACAAAATGGAGGCTATTTTACGTGATCCGAGTAAATTCCGTTTAGAAACGTCGGGAAAGGAAGAAACCAAGGCATTGGGGGACTCCGCATGGAAAGCAATTAAAAAGTTGCTGGACAACAATCTGTTGGACTCTAAAACAGCGTTTTGCCTAAAACCTAGGGGTTCATATACTCCCAGACTTTATAGATTACCAAAAACGCACAAAAGGGACATTGCTCTAAGATCAATTTTGTCTATGTATAATTCACCTATTCACATAGTAGCACAGTGGCTAGTCAGGGTATTAGAGCCAATCCGACGGAGGTTTTCTACGTAAACGTTTTCATGTCATTGAAGAAATCAAAACTCGAGACATTTCGGGCAAATACATGAAATCCCTAGATGTAGAATCACTTTTAACTAAGGTACCACTGGATAAAACAATAGATATCATATGCACCCACGCATCTGAAACTCGTCTGCCACCTGAAACACTACGAGACGCATTAACATTGTGCACAAAGAATGTTAAATTTCTTTTTAACAGCCAATTATATAGACGAATTGACGGAGCGGCCCGTCCTCTGCTGACATATTTATGGGCCATGTAGAACAAAGTTGTCCGCGAAATTGAATATGCTGCCACCCTGCAAAAGAGGCGTGGATAATGTTTTCGCTATTATTGAAGACAATAAGGAGGCTGAAGAATTTTTTTCTACTACGAATAAGCTACATTCAAGGATCAAATTTACAATGGAAAAGGAACAAGACAATCAACTATCCTTTCTGGACGTGCTTGTGTTTCGACCGGAAGATGGTTCTATAAGAAGTTCCGTCTTCCATAAGAATACTTGGAAGGGACATTACTTGCATTTTTGAGTTTTGTACCCATACAATGGAGAAGTAACTTGGTATACGGTCTTTTCCAATTAGCTAGGAACATTTGCTCCAATGACACACTGGATGCAGAATTTGCACGCCTCAAGGAAGCTCTACTTAAGCGCTGATATCCTGCACGTTTGATTTACAAATAGAGCAACTCTACACGGCCAAAATCGGCGGAACATTCAGTTCCGAAAAAGCCCGTCCTTATATCTTTGCCGCTTAGGGGCGACAATATTTTAAATACTATCAAACGACGACTGCGTTTCACCACTGAAGGGACATACGCTGCAGCCGAACTCGTATTATGAAGTCCTACTAAGCCTATTTCGACTACATGGGCAAAGGATGCCTTGCCAATGCACGCCACTTCAAATTTTGTTCATGAATTCACATGCATTTGTGGATGCAAGTACATTAGTCGAATGCAAAGGCAGTTGTCAGCCAGGTCTATTGAGCACCTACCCAGATGGCTCCTAAAGCAAGAAAATAAAATCCCCCGTTCCGCCATTACCAAACACCTGCTTGATAGCGGTCACTCCGTCTACCCCAAAACTTCCTTTCGGGTACTTGTTCGGCACGAATAACTCGGACATTGCGTTACCTAGAGGCGGCCTATATATAGCGGGTGAAACCAGATGTTTTTGAACGGTTAGAACACGTGGTCAGCCTAACATTGCCACGGTAACCTATAGCCACATGGTTTTCCCTTCCCCTCTCCTCTTTTTGCTCGGTAACGTCCCCCTCCTGTTTTCGCTATCCTTTCCATACGGTGTTTGAGTTACTAACTTTGTCGATTAACCGGCTTTACCCAAAACCATGATCTTGTTGTCTCCGCATTGATTTTCTGCACGAATTTCAATCTGTTCTATTCTGCCCACTCGTTATCTTTGTTATGACGCAAAAGGACGCAGTTGGCGAGCCGTCGCGAAATTTTTTGGAACCATTTAATCCTGCCCTACTTGCCTACTTCAGCAAACCTGAGAGTACTGCCTAATGTGGTCCATTAAGTTTTAGTTAGTTATGCACATTTTAAATGCAGGCTTCGGTTAGGTTATAATTTGTTTTTCGAAGCCAACCTCAGATTCCTATCGGTAACGCTCATAGTATGCGGGAATTCATAAAAACCCTCGGTGATTTTCAAATCCTTCCTTGTCTGCTGTCGCTACAGAGTTATAATGCATTCATGAGTTCATATATGAGGTAATCTACGATATTGGTACGCTCTTAGTAAAGCAGACTTGGTAGACGAGATGCTGCCTTTCGGCGACATTCACTTGTTGTCATCTTCAGAACAGTTTTCCTGACTCACATGTGAGCGATGATACCCAGTTGGGTTGTAGAGGTGTGTGTGTGTGTGCGTTTGCTACGCCATGATTCAGCAAAACAAGGCTCTCGCCACCTGGAGGGCACCTGGTTTCCTGCCGGCAGATGTGCTTGAACTCCCGCTGGGTATACAAGTAGTGTGCTTAGATGCCCAGCCACCCTCGTCTTTCTGACTCGCTATTCCGTTGTTGCTCATTAAAATCCTACCCAAGTGTTTTGTTGTGGACTAGGGGTGTGGTGGTACACCTAGGTGTGCAGATCCGGTCGTGCCAGCCGCCTGCGCCCTCTCTCGTCGCGGCCTTCTTGACCATGTCTTGACACCTGGTCCAAGTAGAGAGGAGAGAGTGCGTTAGGCGGTATGCAAGTCAGATTCACGCGCAGGTTCTCACCGTGCTGCGCAGCACACCGTGGACATCTTCCGCAAGGACGGTCGAACATTCAAGTGTCTGCGGCACTGCCGGGCCGGGTGAGGTGGCGCACCTAGGTGAGGTTCCGATGGTGCCGGCCGTCCCTTATGTTGTTGCCTTTGTTGTGGACCAGGGGGTATGGTGGCACGCCCGGGTGCGGGTCCAGTCGCACCAGTCTTCTGCACCCTAGTCCGTCTCCGGTCCGCCAAGTTATATTGCGACACGCGACCCAGGTGGGGAGGAGTTAAAAGTGCGGCAGGTCATGCTATCGCAATAACCTTATTCACGCCTCTGCTCTCACTATGCTGTGAAGCAGACGGTGGACATCGAAGGTCGAGCCGATCAAACTGTCGTATCTACTGACGCTGAACCGCTTCAGTTTCGCTGCTTTTTGAACCATCGAAGTGCTTGCAGCATATTCGAATTTGCAATTCTGATTGACTTATTCACTGGGTAATACTTTTTATTTTTTTATAACAGATGAAGGAACTTGGTTTACCCGTCGTCTTCCTCCTCGGTGCGTATGAACATGGAAACAACTCTGGTGAGTTGATCTGTTTCATGTTTTTTCTACTTATAGTCGTCCGCGTTGCTCGGCTTGATGTTGGCTTTTGTACATATATATACATGATGACAGATGGGCGCGCACCGATCAGGTTACGGAACATGCTCGTTCCGCTGCGCCTTGGGGCTCATACTATACCTACCACTAGTCGCTGTGCGACTGCCTGCGAGGGTTCTAGTATGAGCCCCAAGGCACAACGGAACGAGCATGTTCCGTAACCTGATCGGTGCGCGCCCATCTGTCATCATTGGTATTCCCGATCACCACCGACAGGACAACGGGCCCGTGGCTCAATGGTAGAGCGTCAGACTCCATGACCAAAGATCTCGGGTTCGAATCTCAAGTGATCTACACTTGGGGTTGGATATGACTGGCTGATGACGGCTAATAAGCCAGAAATAGCCATTCCGGTCTCCCTTGTATTTGTCGGCTCCATCTTATATATATATATATATATATATATTATGTGCGCGTAAGTAGTTGAGTATCTGTATGGCGTTGCTACCCTCGAAACGGCCCATGAAGTAGATGCGCTGCCTTCGTTCGCCTGACAGCCTCTTCCGGAGCCGACAATGGTGGAAGATATTTCTTCCTACATGCACCCAGTTGGTAGAGCGGACGGCCTGTAAGTCAAGAACTATGGCTATCCGGTGTCGGTTAAAAAATTGACTCAACTTCGCACGCAGAGCAAGGTACCACCTACCCACCTTTGACATGAGTAATTAGATTCCCAGGACATGGTTTCGTTTCATTCTAGGAAATACCTAATCGTTAATCCAAACCCCTCCACGCTTTTGTCCAGATTTCACTGCTTGGGTCCTCGAGGAAGTCATAAGTAGGGTCCATATACTTACGCTTATTTGAAGACGGACTCCAAAAATACCATGTCGATTATGTTCATCATTGACAAAAAGGTATTCTACCTAACAAAATACCTTCCGTAGAAATTAAAAACAACGAAAGTTTTCCTGCCACTGAGATCTCGGGTTCTAAATTGTAGTCAAGACAGGCACAATGTAAACCACCTCTATTGAACCAAAAAACGCCGCGGAACCCACAGACTACATTTCCCTGAATCAATTTAGGGCGATGCGAGGGACGTTATACGCGGGAAATAAAATTAAAGTCGTTATAGTTTGTTATCCTACATTTGTTATCCCCCACTTGTTGTATGCATAGGCTGTGCCTAAGCCATCAACCGCGTCCTCTGTCGTTAAATACTTCGATTCGCAATTTAAGAATAATGTATAATAGCACAGACGACAGACGGAATGACGTTCAGGTGAGTTGCGAATGGCTCTTATGAGACGCTGAACTGGAAGTCGATACCTACGTGCTTCCTGACTGGGATCACTGACCATCACATGGTTCTTTTCGCATTCTTTGATGACTGGAGGTCTCCGGGTCTTGATTATGTTCCTGGGCTCGAGTATGCGAGCGCACGAAAACTGCTGAATAGTCGTCCATTCGTCAAGCCATCCTGCTGTCAATTATAACGCTTTTTTCTGGCTAGGCATCGAAGAGGAGCAGCGAATCTATGGCGAGATAGTTCAGCAGGAATTCATCGATCATTATGACAACAATACCTACAAAGCCATCATGGGCTTTAAATGGGCCAGTACGTACTGTCCACAAGCCAACTTTGTGGTCTGTCTAGATGACGACTACTACGCGAATCCCCACCTGCTTGCCCAACTCCTGAAACGTCGTAGCAGGTTGTTGGCTCAGCAGCCATACCAGTTGCTGGGACACGTGTACGAGAACGCATCACCCTATCGAACCTGGTTCTCCAAGTGGTACGTCTCGCTGGCTGACTACCCCTGGACCCACTGGCCACCCTACCCCGCCGCGGGTGCCTACGTCACCTCAATGCAACTCGTCCATCTGATGGCTCTGGAGGCCGACCATGTGGCCTATTTGCGCTTCGACGATGTCTTTGTAGGCTTCCTGGCGCTGAAGTTGAACGTCCAGCCGGAACACGAGGATCGCTTCATGCTGTCCGCTAGAACATGTCGGCTTGAGTAAGTTCTTCGCAATGAAGTCTACATTCAAACTAACACATCGAGCTACTGAGCCATGTTGTTGCCTCACCATCTTTTCTCAGCTTACATTTATTAACTAAGCGAGCTACCCATATACTGTTGGGATATTCCAGATTTCAGTTTACGTGTTACTGAGATGCGTTAATTGTGCGGAGCGATTTTATCTGTTTGGTAACTGTTTCGTCCAACACTTGTCCGTATCCTCTATCCCTTCCTCCTTTCTAGACTTGACACAGCCATCGCATGCCATACAGTGGGAAGTCCCAGTACGGTTCTGTGGCTGTGGGAACACCGGATGGGCCATCACCACAGCCTCCCTTGATAATCGTCTTTCCTCAACCCAAATCTGCCCTCACCCACATCTCTTACCTAGGTTTCTGTGTACATTTATGTATATATATATTTACCAGTAGGAGTGTATTTTTGCTATCTCGGCCATGTTGATCAGACTTTTACTCAGCCTTTTTTATTTTCCGACGAACACAGACATTTTTACACTCAGATAAAAAAAGGCAATTCAGGACCTTGTAGTTTTTGATCCGTCAATGTTGGGGTTGATGAAGGTAGTAGAGGAGACAATCACACGACTGCTTACCCAAATACTTCGATCACCGGCGTGTGCTGCTCGTTGTCGCAGCTATTGAGAAAGAGACACTGAACAAGTCAGCTTGGGTACATAGAATCCAGTCTTAGAGACTGCCAGCTGCTAGCCGAACTATGCCTTTCGCGGAATACAGATGCTGAGTTGCTGTGCCGTTGAGTGCACATCGGCCTTTATTGATGTCCCACTGCGTGGAGGAGGCGTGGGTACTTGCTAATTTCAGATGTTATGACCGTGTTCCTCGGCACGCCGTTGGTCTGCCGCGTCGCGGATCCTAAAAGGGGCGGTGGTTTTGCGTCCGACCTACGGCAACCACGTAGTCTGCCATTGGACAGGTCTTGTGAAAATTCGGTTTGTGTCGATAGGCGAAGCGGTGAGCGAGCGCAGCCAGAAAATAGGAGTAAAGTAACAAATCATCTATCCAGAATGTCTGGTCACTGGGCGTAGTAAGGGAGAGGGAGGACGATACTTCACATGTCTTTTTCGGTATAGCCCGGGTTAGGACTACTCCTTGAGTTATTTGTGGCGCTAATTGACCTCTACGAGTAAGCCACGTGTAAGTCAAGCCGTTGGTCATGCAGTGCCATCGAATAGGCCTTGGCATAACAGTTACTCAGCATTCACGGTCAGCAGGTGTGATGTGATTTCCGCTGGATTGGAGTTGGTGTATGTAGGTAAGCACTGATGGAAAAAGCTTTCAACCGCCGCATGATGATGACGCATAAGGAAGTTATGAAATCTTTTGCAATCAGGATAAATTGGAGCAGGCCACTCCCGTGGTACAAATGTCTAAGGAAAATTTGGTCTGTTTTTATAAGCGAAACGGTGAGTGAGTAGAACCAGGCAGAAGAAGTGAAGTGGCCGGGCCTCCCGTTAGGTTTCGATTGTGGTGCGTTGGCAAAATTGTACTTGATGCTGCCGCGTTTAAGCTTGATCTCACCGACTTCGATGACGTTACGCGTTGTACTCCTCCGCGCGTGACGCTTTGCGCTACCAACTTTGGAAAGCTCGACTCATTCTCTTCTCCAGAAACAGAGACAAAATAGGGAAAGTCTAGGAACCATCTCAATGTTTTGGAATTTGCGGAGCCAGGTCTTTAGCTGACCCACTTTCTGACGCCTGCAACGGCGCCCGACCGAGTGCAGAATTGAAAAAAATGTCAAAATCACCAAAACCGTCTTTCTTAAATGGGCTAAAAAATCCTCGCGATATTGTCGCAGCGAGTGCGAACTGACTAATTTGTGAAGAAGTCAGTGTAACCCACCCGAAAGACGGTCACCGGTCAGCGGTGGTCAAGTACCTCCAGTCACCATTCGTCGTTCACGCGCAAAACCCGATATTCACAACCGTGGAGGAGAGCTGAGGGGACCGAAGCACAGTACACGTGGATTTTCACGGTGTTGGAGATGTCACATCGGGTTTGCAGGCATTTTCTATGGACTGAGAAAACCGTGTGAATAGTATTGCTTCGGGCGACAACCTCAGCCCTAGGTATTTGCAAATGCCTACTTATTTAAGTTGACAATCAGTAATCCTATGCGAATGACTACCCCTGGTCAGGGATGCAACACGAAACCAAGTTGGTATTACAAACGTTTGCAGATATACCGGTCACAGCGGCGGCTTCGTTAACCCGAAACGCCGCAGATTATAGAGCCCCCACGCTAGAAGCTAGAATAATCTAATTAACCGGCCTTCAGGTGGAAACTCCATACCTGAAAAACCGTTTAGGGTCCTTCCGAGAATGCAGTAAATGGTAAAGGTCAGCAGAATGAGTGTCAAGATGAAGTCTTGTCGAACACCAAATGGTATATCGAAAGGTTGGGTGGGCGAGAATTAGTGCAATAGTAGGGCGACAGTAGGTCATAAAAATGACGATGATTTTGACCGAGACACCACCTAGTTCCACGTTTCATCACAGGGAATCTCGATGGAGGAAATTGTGTGCAGCGGCAAAGTCAACAAAGCAGACAGCCATCGGTTGCTGGTAGTCATGGCTAAATTCCAGAATGGACCTTAATGGGAGTATCTGGTGCGCGCATCCACGCCCAGCAAGGGATCCGGCCAAGTAGCGCCTCGTTCTGGGGCCACGTAAAAACTGCAATCGTCTAAGAAGGACGACAGTAAAGACCTTCACCCCGTCTGATCTGATCTCTCCATGCTGGTTTCATCACCTCATGGCGGTAGGGCGCCAGGGTATCGACAAAGGACTCGCAGGTTTCAGCGGGAATACCGTCCACCAAGGAGACCTTGTGCAGTTCCTGTTTAGCATCGGCAACGTCTCTCTCAGAAGAGATACCTGGATTACTGATTACTCACTCCCTCCCTCCCTAGCCCATCTAATTTGTTCACCCCATCCAAGCTGAGACGCGCATATTTAGTGCAGCAAGTGGTGACTTCGAACAGTGCAACTCCAATGCATAAATTCTGGGAAATGTTACCAGATATGCAAGCCAGCCGCACTAGGCAGATCTTGTCTGACAGCGCTCTCCATTCCGCTTTGTCTAGCCATTTGACACATCTCAACCAACAGTCGTAGACAGCCAATGTCTCTGAAGACTCCTCAGGACCGCTTAGCGACGCTTGTGTTGCAATGAGATTCCAATTGCCAATGTGGGGGTGTGAACACGCATCTACAGCGTGCTCATCTGTCTTCTCTAGACCGCCGTTTCCAAGTGGTCGTCAGGTTCGCTACAGGCAAGAACATCCAAGAATAGTAGTTTATTCTCCACCCACAGTAGCACGTGAATGCGGCGACCCCAACACCACTCCGGCGTCGCTGAAACTTGTTGTTCACAATGCCTACGAGAACGGTATTAGCATACACAATCCCCGATAATGTCATTCCGTGCCATAATCGTGCACTTCGTACTAGGCCCTGAATCTTTTAAGTACTGTGACCCATCAGTATAATTGCATGTCAGTATGATTAAATTCTGATAGAAATATAAATATTTAACAGGCTTTTTATCTTACTTTATGGCGTACACCGTCGCCAAGCACATCTAAGTTGAGCGCACTTTCAAATGTGTCATGTTAGAGGTGGAGAGTCTAACGTCGACGAAATAACAAGAGTTCCAGGAAATGAATCTGACGGACATGCAGGCGAAGGTGTCATTTCCGATGTCGATGGTCACATGCAGACGACTTCTCGACAATAGTAATTACCAATCATGTAAGCATGGACTTCGGGTGGTGAGTGGTTGTTTTCCATTAATGTCAGTTATGCTGATCAAAATTACAAATCTGGCAGCCGACATTTGAATTTAGAAATTTCACATTTGCACTGCACAGACGATGGAGATTTTTACAGCAACGAAGCCTATGTCAATAGGTGGTTATTGTAACACTGCAACGCACGCCAACCAACCTCAGGAAAAAGTCAGAACACTGTCAGATAACTAGAAAACAGAACAAACTGAAAAATGCACTATAATCCGTCAGTTACAGCTGTTCACCAACAGCTGATTTTATTTTTACCTGAATGGCAAAGCACACATTTCAGAAGAAGCGAACTTCCAATGAGCAAAAATTTCCTAACAGTTTTTTTTCGTATGGGCACATGTCTGCCGTTAAGTGAGACCCGCATTAATGGAAATTTCTATTCAGCACACAGCGTTTTGAGAAGCAGGTAGTTTTTAAGATGGATTTCGCGTTTTTGTTATCATCGAAATGATGATGCGCAAGCAAGCAGATTTTGTCTGACTGCACTCCTCATTCTGCATTGTCTGGTCATTTGACAGTCATGGACAGCCGATACCACCGACGTACTCTAAAAGACGAACAACCAGGCCCATTTGATGACTCCAGTGTTGCAATGAGATTCAATTGTCACTGCGAGGGTGTGAACACAGTTGTGGTAAGGAAGCATCTATAGGGTACTGGTCGGTTTTCTCTAGACTGCCGCTTCCAACTGGTCGTCAGGTTTGCGGCAGACAAGAACATCCAATAATAGTAGTGTATTTTTCGCTTCCCCCTCCATCTTGAACTGTAGTCCGGGGATGATTCAGTACACTCCCACTTCATGATGACAAACTTTTACTGAAGAGTGATATAGTTCGTAGTGAAACAGTAGTCCGATTCACCATCCCCCCACCCAGTCGGAATTGACGACCTGGGCATCAGGCAAAATGTGTCATAAAATGAAGACTCTGAAATAGGACCTGCAGTCTGTGAGAAGCAGTAACCAACATTATCGTTCATTTTCCCCCAAGATACATTTTTTCTGTCTGGTGATGCATTGTAGACACCATTTCTTCATAGATATAAGCGATTGAACTGAAATATCAATAGGTGTCGAATGCAAGCAACTCCCCGAAACCCAACGTAGCACTTGAATGCGACAACACCAACAATGCTCCAGGGCCCGTGATAGCGGTACTGGCGAAAATAATCCCTAGCAATGCCACTCCGTAGACTGACTGTCTAGAGTTCAAGGATATGAATCCGATTAGCATGGTGGCGAAAGTATCATTTCTGATGTTGATGGCCAAATAGTAGGTAGCCGTCAAGTAAGCATAGATTTCGGGTCGGGAATGGTTGGTTTCCACTATTGTCCGTAATGTGCGTCAAAATTGTAAATCTAGCAGATAAGATGCAAATTTAGGAATTGCGTGCTCGCAGAATCCCAAGACCAGCTACTTCTAAGCAGCGAAGCCGATGTTAATAAGTGGTTATTTTAACACTGCCTCAGACAAAAAGTCAAAAGCCTGTCGGATAAC